GGGGGGGTAAATTTTCTATTCCCATCCTGAATGTTCGGAAGCCCAAAAATCAGGTCAGGTGGTATCTGGGGAGGTACCCCAGACATGGGATCGGAAGGGCTCTTCAAACCCTAACTTGTGTAAAAATTTCATTTGCCTATGATTGCGTTGAAGTTTTTTATCAATGGTCCGAAAATTCGGAAATTCTCGAAATTTCGATTTTTTGACCAGCCGTACAGGGTCTCTTGAGGCAGACCCGGGGAAAATATTTTGGCTTTCTGAGTTTTTGCCCAAACCCAACTTCCGTGCAAAATTTCAGCCGATTCTGGGAACCTCGATGTGAATTTTGATTGATTTCGTGTGGAATGGTCGAGGGGAGGGTCAGTGGGCAATATGGGTGGGTCCAATCGATAGATCTCGTCAAAGTACCCTAACAAACACCCTTCCAACAGGGCGTAAAACCCATTCCTAAGCTTGAAAATTGGATTTTTATGATTCTTCCCATTGAATTAATGGTATATTTTCAAATGCGATTTTTGGGCTTGGGAGTGGGTTTTACCCCCCCAAATGGGGGGGTATTGTCAGAGTACTTTGACGAGATCTATCGATTGGACCCACCCATATTGCCCCCTGACCCACCCCAGACCATTTTTTGGAGTAATGTATATGTAAGGGAAGCATCATCGATAATAGCCCTGTGGGGGGTCAGGAAATGGGTCAGTTGACCTCGGAGGAAGCTGCAATCGATAGATCTCGTCAAAATACATTGAGATACAAACTGGTCCGGGGGGGGGGGGGGTAGCCACTCCCTAGCCCGCGAATCGGGTTTATATTTCTCCCCAGGGGAAAAAAATTTTTCCCCCCGGCAAAATCGATTTCCCCCCCCCCTCGCGCATGTATGGTGCGTTGTGATCAACAGCAAAAAGTGACAGTGCCGCGGAGCACCATAACTATCAAGAAATGTTAATCATTGTTTTTTCAAAGAAAAAATCATAATTTTTACCTGTATTGTGGCAACTATCGTGACCGTATACGCATGATCGTACGTTCATTTCGGCAGTGTATGCTAAATCTGCATCCCATTTTATTTTTGGCATACGCACAGCGGGGCTATAGGGAGTTATATTTCCTAGTGCTATCAAATTGCGATATTTATTGTGCACATCGACAAGTGATTGTTGATATTCTTTTGTCATGCTGAAGAGCGCTTGAGCTTTACAGCTATCTCCCCAGCTCTAAATAAAATGAAAATCGTAATTGATATGCTGCTTTTAGCCCAAGAACAACTAAGGTTCTTATTTTGTTTTTAAAATGCTTGATACTTACATATGTTACCACTGGTCTGAAATTGAATTTCCAGTTCCCAAAAGGATCAAGGTAAATGAAAATCGTATCTTTCTAAAACAAGCAAAAATAGGGTGGTCGATTTTTCGACCAATGGCTTTTAAGATGATCAAAAATTTTTCAATTCAATACAAGTTCTCAAAAAAAATTTTACCAAAATAATCATTTGTTTCGTCTTTTGTTCCTGCGTGACCAATCCGAAACAATTAATTTTTTGGTTAAAATCCAAAATTTTTGAGAATTTCTAGAAAGTTAATGGTTAATCGCTTTAGTTTAAATTTTCTACGATTTGGAAACCGATTAACTACATTTTTCCATACAAATTTGACATAGATTTCAATTCATTTTCTAAAATTTAAAACGAACAAATCGTCAAATTTGCATAAAAAAAGAAAGACACTTTTTGTACTTTGTAATTTTTCGTTTTCGAAATATTCTGCATATAGCCTTAAGGGCGTTTCACATTTGAAGAAAATAAATACTTACAGCACTGACATATGCACTATTGCACGCGATATTTTTTGTATCGCCGCAATTCAGTTTGCAGTAGTCAGTAGCAGCTATTGATGAAGCCAACAATAAACACAAAACTAAATTCAAATAAATATAGATAAATTACTGAACATTTCGATTTGTTTTTGTGTAATAAGTTTGCAAGACTTACCAGTTAACGTTTTCAGCAACATATTATTTCGGTTCAATGAATGAAAAAACAAAGTATTACTTCAACAACTTCCCAATTATGAAACACCTTGATCAATTTTAGGAACTTTATTGATATCAAAATGTACGGAGTGTACTCCTTTTATACAACAATTTTCGTCGATGAGCATCGTCGAATAAAAACAAAGTTAAGATAAAGAAGTACGCAGGCAAATTTGAAAATTAGAGACAAAAAACATGGTTTACTATTTACACTATTACGATTGACGCAGATTAATCTGCGTTCCTTTTATTCAAACCAATCTATTTACTTTCAATTCAAATATTTATCTAAAAACAGAAAACACAAATGTTCCTGAGTATAACTAGTCAATTTACGACTAATTGGTCGAAATCTATAGACTGGACAGTGGGCACAGAGATCGATGACGTTTATCTCAGATAAAATAACGAAAAATCTTTACTTCAATACCTAAATATTATAACAGCCGCGCATGTTTTTAACCCAGATTTCAAGTAAACCGAAAATATTTACTGAAAATTGACAATATTTAGTTGGCTGCCGTTTGCCTAGTAATAAAAAAAAGCTATTCAACAACATGATTCTGTGAAACAAGCGTAAGTCTTTACTTTAGACTGTAAAATACATTTGGTGAATTCCTATATTCAGAATGAAGCTTCATAATGGTGGTGCTTCTTTTCTTCCACTAAAAATTTATTTTTTGAATGAAACGTGTGAGTTCCATTTGAATCGTACACCATTTATTTTCATACCAAAATATTGACAGGTTTGCATTGCAAAATCTATTCTACTGATGTCACCATATCCGTTTTCTATTGTTTTTAGTGTTAGTTTGATTTTATTTATTTAGATAAAAACACTTTCATTTTCGATGGATAAAATAAATGTATAATCAATTGCTTGCTTTAATAAGCAAAATAATAATTTTGATCGTGCTTAAATTAGATTGCTGTTTAAAAAAAGATCTTATAAATAAAAAATTTATTGATAGGAGAGAAATAAATTCAAATGATCTAGAGCATTGATACATCAATTTGAAATAATAAAAATGTAAAAAAACATACAAACTATGCAGCATTAGCAAAAAGTTGAACAAAGCGAAGCGGGCTTGCTATTAATAAATAGAAAATGACTGCTGCCATGAAGTTCGACAAAAATTTTGGTATTCTCCACCAATACTTTATCTTTTGGCTTCAAATATCTATGAGTGAATGGGTTCAACAAATGTAAGTAAAAAATGCAACACAAAAAATCAACAAAACCAAATAGATGCACGTTATAGTTACTAGAAATCAATTAGAATTTATTTTTTCGTAAATTTAAATACTTCAATCAATTTAATCAGTATTAAATTTTCTCATTTTCGCTACACAAGTCTGGATAGGTTGCGTCAGTTCCCGTTGTACAATTTGAGGCAGTCGTTCCAGCAACATACACGTGGGATCCAAGTAAATTGATAAACGCATAGTTACATGTCAATATAAGTGCACCCCAGTCTTTTCCATTGTTGTTCGTTGTAGTAAAAACGGCAGCACATCCAATCGCGTCTGTTCTATCCTGCACCCATGCTGTAAAATGACCTACGACTGGCTTCCTGTTTAATTTAATGAAACCAAACACAATTGAATTGTGTCATAGAACCAAATATCCACACATAAAACAAAACAAAATGGCACAATGTACGTACGAACTATCGAAATCGCTGGCCTTAATTTGGTTAATCATATCCATCCAGCCATGTGACTCGCCATTTTTGTACTCATTGAACCAACCCATCGCAATTTCAGCTAATCGGCTTGTTGTTATTACTCTATCCCAATCCACATTAGTCATAATCATGGCAATACTTTGACCAGACATGGAATATTTTGCTACATTTAAAAGAATTAACGAATTAGTGATGTCAAAGTGTGATTCAAATTGTGGAATTGATGATTTGACACACCAATATATGGAATGGAATTCCATGTACATATATGTACACGGCTCAGTTAGAAGCCTTTATGAAGTTTATATGAAACAGGAGAAGTGCCTTGATGCCAAAGGGTTAACTACGAATATATACTCGACAAACACTCACCGATACTAGAATCTACTCAAATATCAAGGAATTTTGAACATTGTTTATTTTTTAATCTTATTTCTTTAGTACCTGTATTGTGGCAACCATCATGACCGTATACGCATGATCGTACGTTCATTTCGGCAGTGTATGCTAAATCTGCATCCCATTTTATTTTAGGCATACGCACAGCGGGGCTATAGTGAGTTATATTTCCTAGTGCTATCAAATTGCGATATTTATTGTGCACATCGACCAGTGATTGTTGATGGTCTTTTGTCATGTTGAAAAGCGCCTGATCTTTGCAGCTATCTCCCCAGCCCTAGAATTTAAAACGAACAAATCGTCAAGTTTGCATAAAAAAATGCAGAAATTTAAAATTTGACACTTTTAGTATGGAAAGTTTCAGCCAAAGTTGAAGTTAATTCGAAATTTTTACATTTGAAGAAAAGAAATACTTACACCATTGGCATATGGACTATTGCAGGCGATATTTTTTGTATCGCCGCAGTTTAGTTTGCAGTAGTCAGTATCAGCTATTGATGAAGCCACCAATAAAAACAAAACTAAATTCAAATGAAAAGAGAAATAAAATTCCCAACATTCAGATTTGTTTTGGTGTACTAGGTTCGCAAATCTTACCAGTTAGCGTTTTCAACAACATATTACTTCGGTTCGCTGAATAAAAAGAAAGTGTTATTTCGGCAATTCCTTAATTATGAAACACTTTGATCAATTTTCAGAACTTTAATGATATCCAAAGGTACGGAGTGTACTCCTTTTATACCAAATTTGTCAGCGATGGTGCTTACGAGTGAAACAAAAGATAAGATGAAGAAAAATAAGGCGACATAAAAATAACAAGAAAAAGTGTTTTGTTTGTATTAAACTACTCGGTTGACGCAATTTAATCCGTATCTCTTTCATTCAAACCAATCTATTTATTTGCAATTCATATACTGTAAGAATTTACACGATAAACCAATCAAAGAACATTTAAACTGATACAACCAAATTGTTTGCTGTCAAATCCTGTCTCGCTTACACCAACCGTCACACTGACTCGTTCGTGTACGAATTGCTGTTAGCGTAAAAGAGATGTTGTTCACAGTAAACTCAGTTTAGATGTTCATTGGATTTATATGACAAATCGTGTAAAACGTTAAAATATCGTGTAATTTTTAATGTTTCAAAGTTGGCGCAAACATTTGACAGATGCGTATATCGGGTAATAGTATTTGAAATTACACGATATTTTATCGTTTTTACACGATTTGTCATACAAATCCAAGTTTGATTGGTATCATCGTGTAGATTCTTACAGATATTTTTTAGTGTGTATTTTTTCGAAACGGCTAAACTGGACAGAAATCAATTGAGATACATTAAGGAAAAATTGTTTACTTCCAATTCGATAGTTCAATATTTAAACAGCCACGGATTAATTTAAATTAGAACAATATCATTTCCATCGATTTTATCTGAGCTAAAACAAAAGTTCCTACTGAAATTACAAAGCCTCAAACAAATGGCTATTATATACAAACGATCTTAAAGATCCGCATCACATTGCGTATAAATAATAACAAATTATAAATTTTGTGATTAAATGACAATTAAAGTGTGTTATAAATTTTTTATCATAACATCATGTGTTGGAATCAGATACGACCGCAAATGATTCTTGGAACTACTGAATGAATTGGCCCATATTTTCATTACAAAGCTCCGGTATGAATATGGGGATTCACCGAATGAATTTTATAGTCTGCAATAAAGGTTTACGCCTGTTTTTTGCCATCATTCTACACCATCCAATGAATCATTCTTTTATCATTTGTCTAAACAGTCTTGATTGATGGTGATTCTGATGGTGATTCTGTTGTTGAAAAGCTTTTATATTACCGGGCAAAAAAACAGCGAACAAAATATTGACAAATGTTTGTAAATATTTTACTTTTATGTATTAAGAACATGCGCTGCTGGAAATAAACAAATTTTCCTTTATTTTATTCAAACAGACGTCATATGTCCTGTTTATCCATTTCGTCAATCGATTGATTCGTATGTTTGTCTAAAAACAGGAAAATATCAGATAAATAATTGAATTGCAAATAAATAGATTGGTTTGAACGAAATGGACACGCGTCAACCGAGTGCACCTGTGTAGTAAAATATGTTTATTTTTCTTCTTTTACAGCTTCTTGTTTTAATTATTTTGGTTTTCATCCGTTGGTGCTCATCACCGAATTTTTGTAAGAAAAGGAAATATTCCGATCCTTTCGATATCACAAAATTTCCGAAAATTGCACGGAATGGTTTGCGTTAAATTTATTTATTTGAATTGCATTTATACGATATTCTTATTTTGACTCTTAATACGCACTGTACAGCAGTGAACACACACACACACACAGTAGTGTTGAACAAAAAAATGAATCTATTTATTAGTAAATATATTTAGCGTTTCCCTTGAGAAAGAAACACCAGCCGATTAATTTGCAAAATGTGCGAAATCAATCTGGTTGAAAGAATAGCTAAACAAAAATATTGTATAGAAACCATCACTATACAACATTTTTGAATTCAATTCTTAGCCACCACATACAACTCAGTGACCGTTAGTCATTTTTGTCCACAACGGTAGTCTTCTATTTCCTCTGTTTGTCTCTATAGTTTGAACAACATCTTGGCACATATGGTCGTTTGAACAGTGTTCAATGAATACGTTCTGTTTTCAATTTATTACCAATTGATACCCTTCTTCAGCTGAATGCGCCATATGTAATGCTTTTTATGCATAATTGGACGGTTCAATGTAATGCTTGTTTGTATGAAAATCAATGAAATATATGCATAATACGTGCGTTCATTGGTCGATTTTCTATGCATATGCGATGCATAAAATGTGCATCTTATCTTCCTAATGTAAATGTCTGGAAGCTATACCATATGCATACTGCGTGTATTGTATGCATATTGTGTGGGTTATATGCATCCAATATAATTATACAAAGCATATTTTTTTGCATCATTTTTGGTTCAGATTATGCATCAAAGACAGTGATATGGCTCATTGGGAGTGCATCCCTCGATAGAAAATTCATTGCACAGCTCCTAATACGAAAGCACGTCCATCCTTCAATCGAATTTACAATATTCAGAATGTCCACAGAAGAGTTCGTGTGAATATTCAAAATGTTCACCATTTTTTTTGAAAATGAATGAAACTCACAAATGTGTAAATTCATTTTTAAAAAATTCCAATTGATTTCAAGTGATATGATGCGTGGATTCATTTTGTTATGGTTTAATCGGTTCACGATAATTCTAGATGATACTATGCATTGCTATTCAGGTCCTGACCGTTGTTGACTGCACCACTTCTTTATCATTTCAAAATTAAAAGAATAATGTGTAATGGCAACGTGCAAGAGCACCTCTCTCTGGTTGACATTAACATTTTTTAAAGCCAAAAATGAACTCAAATTCCTTTAGTTTAATTTCCCAAAATGGAAGTGATCCAAAGAGAATGAAATCCGTCAGATATCTAAGTAAAACCAAATCATATCAAATTGAATTGAATTGAATTTATTTCTATTTTGAATTAATTTTTCTTTTGTTGTTGTTGTTAAATTGACAGCAGAATTTAGCCTCTTAATAAAAATGTATACATTTCATTCTGTAATTACAACAGAGGGACTAATTTGTTCATGATCTAGGAATTCTTAGTGTTCTGGGAACTCGGTAAATATTTAAAAATAGTACTTGATATTTTATTTGCTTTGATAAATTCTTTACGACCAGCGTCTTAATTGTTCTCAGTTTCATTAACAACGGTTTCATTGTATTCTTTGGTCAAAGCGATCAGTTCATTGCGAAGTTTTACCGCCTGCAAAAATGAGAAATGAATAAAATGAAGAGTCAAATCTGAAAATAAATAGAAAAATTTGGTTGTTACTTTGGTTCGCATTTCCTTTTCTCTCGTGATTAGCGCCTGAATTTGGTGAAACATGTTTTTGGTTTGCGTTTGATCGATCACCCATCTCAGATACAATTCTGAAAATAGAGCAATTGAATGGAATTTTGCATATTATATTTTCAGTTCAAGAGTCTTTACCAGTCCATAGTTCCAAGCTAATCGGTGCAACAGATGGCCAAATAACACCCTGATTTGGTTCGTACATTGGATTCAACAGTGATTTCAGCACATCTGGCCGATTTAAGTAGGACCATAAGCTCGTGGTGCGTGAGTGCAATTTGATTGCTTGTCGTTCGCGTTCCGAATCACCAAGGAATGTTCCGTACGAACTGAAAAAGCTATGTTCGTACAGCAGAATCAACATTTGTGTGTTGAATTCAAAGCTAAATGGGAATTGGCAGTGCAATTGGTAGACGCTATCGAGGAATAGCACAAAGGTTGAGGCCGACGTTTTTTGACGAGTTTGTGACGGTGTGTAGCAGGAGTATTTGTGACGGGTTGCAAACGGAAATCCAGCTTGAATCCATTCTCGTTCGATTAGAGCTTGAATGCTATTTGCAAGAAGCAAAAATGATTTTTATTACTTTTGAATTAAATCCAAATTCAAAAATCTTTTTTTTTTTCGAGTTGAAATGAGCAAAACATACCCTCGCACTGTGCGACAGTCTGGATTCAAAATTATTTGGACGAGTGAGGTGACGATGAGTGTGGAATCCATTCCTTTGCTACCGTGTACCAGGCAAGGTGAACCTTCTTGATCCAAGCATTGAGCAACGACACAGGCGGCATTCAGTGAATTCAAAACGAGCGTAAGCCAATTTGAGTTTTCCAATCTATCAAACCACTTATCCGTTGAACAAGATGTGTCATTGCATGCTAAAGTGCATTATTAAAATATTAAACAACATGAGCTATACGCCACACATCACCTAATTAGATTACACAGTACATGCACATACCTTCAATAAGTTTCGAAAAACTGTGTAGTATATTAGAGACATGGGGTAAATTGCCAATCGACCGCGTCACTTTGCGCCATTGATTGTAATGCTGGTCCGTTTCACTGTTCGATTTGCCCTTACTCCATGTATCGACGATGAAACCTTTTTTGCTACGTCCTAAAATCACATTTAATATTGCTTCATCGGCTCGGCATCGTTTGTTATTTGCCGCACTGCTCGGTTGTGCGCTCCTCAGTAGAAAAGCCTTTGAAAAAGTAGAAAATTAAATTAGTGACGATGAAATGAAGATAGAAAAGACCAGTAGTCGCAGCTTCATAATCAAACGACTACTTAACCCTCAATAGTATAATGTGAACCGTGAGTCGGATCACATTGCTTCAAGGGGAATTTTTATTTGTCAATGTTTTTTCTTCATTTTTGTCTTTGGAGCTATTTGTCTATGTGGTACGATTGGTGAGTTATAAACAAAAATGTGCACGAAAACGAAAATTTGACAAAATAAATTATTAGGTTTCCAAACTAGACAAATTTTTGACACTTTTGAACAATGGATTTCATTGTTCTCTGATTTATGTCTATCGCATTTTCTGACTAAACCATGAGAAATCTAGGATTATGACTATTTTTTTCGTTATCTATGGCCAAAATTCAACCAAGTACCAGTACGGGAGTCCTGGGAAAAATTCATGCAGTTGAGGGTTAATATCAGAGCAACAACTTTGATAATGGACATAAGAGTGAATTGCCTTGAAAGATCAAAGAACGACAGAAAAAAAAACTCGATTGAAATGACACACTCACTCCATTATCATGGCGATAACTGATGACAGGAAATCGTCCACCGTCTCGAAATGCGGCCGACTGTATGATTTCCTCGTCGGTGATACTTTTCGGTACGACCAGTTTTGCGCCATATGTTGGACACACCGAGAAATCGCGATTGATATGCGTTATACGCCATTCGTCGGTGGCCAACAATTTTGCAAATTCCAATTCACAGCGAAATATTGTGTATCCATCTTCAAGGATTGTGTACATGGGTCGATAGAAAAACGGATATAAATACTGTTGACTGTTCAATTTGGACAGCTGTTCAATTGATTTGGCAACATTCAAAAACTCTAGCTGCTGATTTATCTCCAGTGAAATAATGCGTAAATCCTTGCATTTGAGTGTGATGAGACCGCCCTGTTGAGGCATCGTTTGTTTTTGCTCAACCACATCGATTGCATGATGTAGCAGCCACAATTCCTGAACGCCTTCACGACGCGAACTCAATATCAAATGATGACCAGTGATACATAGCGTCCCTTCGACTGGTTCACTTGTTTGTGTGTGCAAAATAACGCCATCCAATTTTGGTGTCGCTATCAATTCGGCAAATTCCATACTGTTTTAAATGCGAAAAAATCGACTTCCGCCACTCGTTCTCTATTCAGATTGCACTTTTTAAATATAAACAATTTCACGTGCAAACAAAAGTTGAATGAATTATGATATACAATTCATGGTTCCTTTTGGTAAATGGATTTTGTACACCTTTCTGCTATGAATACCGCGAACACTTTGCCTAATTGAAAATCAATAATTAAAAACTAAAAATTCACCGGTGGTCAATACATAAAACTGCTTAACTAACTAAATTTAATTAAAGCCTTGCGAATGCGCCTTCTTATATGTCGATTTTACGATTGCTTCCAGCTCAAAATCGCTACAATATGCACACGATTATTTTGATGGGAAAAAGCGATGTTATCATTCTATGCTCTTTCAATTGCAATATGTTTCGTGTGAAGTTTCTACGTTATTTTCATTGTTTGACATACACGCCAGTAACAGTGACACAACAACAACAACAACGGCAACAACAACACCTTAATGTCAGACACATAACAACGTTCACAGCGCTAAAATGCAACTGGTTATGTCAAACTGAGCAAATTAATGCAACACCGAATCCAATCAACGCAAATGGAACGCCTGGTTTTTTTTTCTGGATTCGTTTAAGTAAAGTTGCGATTATCTTCAATCGAATGTTCAAAATGTAATTTTTGCGTTAATTTATACGTAGCACGTACATATATTGGATTCTATTAAAATAAATGATGGATATAAATACCAAAATAATAAAATCGCTTCAGTAAAATAAATTTTATTAACTTGAGTCTTTGAATTGGCGTCGTCGAATTGGATTCACTGTTTCCAAAATAGCTCAGTATTTGAATTCGATTTAAAATCATTCGACCGCCTCCACTACGACTGGTTCATGGTCAATGTACGACGCAAAATGATATGAAATTCGCTTATAATTATTAGTTGTTTATATTTTGTGCAGCAAAAATTTACATTTTTTTTACACTCTTCCTATAATCATCCGAACTTTAAGCCATTGATCCATTCTCTATCCATATCAGATTGCAATGATAACGTATGTATACTTGTATCATTCGTGCGATTAATTTGTGTTATAAACTTATTTATTTGTTTCCAAAACAGAGATATGATGTAACGCATAGTTAAATCTGTATTTCCCATCACGCAAAATTGATTCGTCTTTTGTTACTTGAATGACTATGAAATATAAAAGATTTTTGAATTAATCTTCATTAAACCACCGGACGGGATACGTTTAGCAAGCGAAGATGTTTGTTCTCGTGTCAATTTTGGTGATTTTAGTGAGATATTTCTTATGGTTACGCCGTGATTTATACAAATTATCATGGCACTTATCTGGACCGATTGGATTGCCATTCATTGGGAACGCATTAGAAATGCGCCCAAATAGTGAGTGATTTGAAAAAAAGAAGTTCTCTTTTTATTTTGAGCAAACAGTGTGATTTCGGATGAGTTAATTTGACAGCAAACATAACCATTTTTTGATCCAATTTACTAAATGAATGAAATTGTGTCGCTGAGATTGAAAATGGCAATACAGATGTGTTTGAACTGAAGCGTAACATGAAGATCGTTATATGTTTTTTATGCTTTTCGTGAAAATGATAAGAGATAACGAAATGGTATCTTCAACAATTTTATAGAATTGGTCAAGTCCCAAAACTTTGCTGAACAGTGAACACACTAACTTATTATCTCCTATCCCTTTCGCGAAAAACACAAAAAACCACATTCGAAATTCATATTTTTCATATTGCGATTCTATTGAAGTGGCGATTCATGTAACGCTTTTAGGAAACAAATTTCATGTTGCGCTTCAGTTCAAACACTCCTGTAATCCCATTTTTATTATTATCAACGACACAATTCGTCTATGTTCATTTGATTGAAGTTGGGAAGAGAAATTAATTGATACTATTCTTATTCGTTACATTTTATTTACCATATTTTTTCCACTCAAATTATATTTTTGTTGTTCATTTTTTCTTCAAGAAATTCATTCGTTTCTCGATCGAATATCTAAAACATATGAAAGTCCGATGCGATTATGGTTGGGGCCAATTTTGGCGGTTTTTATTGCTGATGCAGACAACGTTGAAATTTTAATGAAATCCAAAGATTGTCTGAGTAAACCACCTGTTTACAAAATGATCCGAGATGGGCTCAGCGTAGATGGTCTATTCACCTTGAAAGGTATTATCATTCAACATAGTGAACAGTCACGAAAAAAATCATTAAAAGCAATTACGTTTCATTCTAAGTGAGCAGTCTTTGTGAATATTTATCAAACCGAAAAATGAACGATTTTATCGATAGACTAGATGAAAATAATGTTGGTTTATGCGTAAAATATATGTCAAGTTCAATATCTGTTTACATTACACAGCAAAAATTTATTTGGAAACAGAATGATTGTCGAAAATTGAATGAATATCGTAGAGCTACGTATTTTCAAACTGGGCACTTCTCTTTGCAATTTTATTATTAGCTTTCGCTCCAGCATAAGAGCTGGTTATTGTACATTTGTTTTTAAATTCATTAAATCTGTCTAACTCTATGACTGTATTCGTTTCATTCGGTGAACTCATTAAGTCATTTCAATTTATTATGATAAATACTTTTCTTTGATTGTTCGTAAATTGGTACTTAATCATAACAATTACTTTTCAACAGCGGAAGAGTGGAAAGTGCACCGACGACTCGTTAGCCCAACGATCAATTCAACCAGTGTAAATGCACATTTACCGGTTTTCAATGAGAATATTCGAAAAATCGTTCATAATCTGCCCACGAAGGAGTACTTTGATATTTTGCCGTCGATATCGAAATGCAAAATGACTATGTTCGTTGAAGCAGCTCTCGGCATCGATTGGGAGCCCGAAGTGAAACAACGATACTTACGACAATTCGTCGCGTACGTATCTATGCACTGCTGCTGATACTATGCGCGACCATTCAAAGCGAACTTCACATTTTCGCATAACGTTCGCACGAACAATGAGAGCAATTATTCAGCGGGAGCAATTAATTTTTATACTGGTTTTCATGCGATGAATGCTACTATAGTAACCGCTACATTCGTTGTACCGAAGTACTCCGCTACTGTTGAACTTAGTATGCATTGCAATAGGCAATTGTAATCCATTAATGATGTGCAATTATAAAAATAAAAAAGAAGAAAAAACCACATAAACTCAATCGCCGAACACTTTCCCAATGAATAATTGCGATCGATGCGGTTTTAAATTCAAACGAATCCGTTGATATTGCACTTGAACTCGTTCTAATAAGTACGTATATTGAAACATTTTTCAGAGGCGTTGAAATTGTTGCCAAACGTTCATTACAGCCGCTTTTCCACATTGATTTCATTTGGAATTTGACGGAAGGAGCCAGACGACTGCGAGAATATAATCAATATGGTCGCAAATTGTTTGAAAAAGTAAAAAAAAACTAATTCAATTCTATTTACTTTGTATGATATCTGATGAGATATCGATTTTGAGGAAAACATGAAAATGAATTCCCTGTCATCAATGATATCTAGATATTGCAAAAAGAAGCGGAGAAAGGCGGAAGCGGAACATTCATAGGAAGACTCTTCGATGTATCAAAGGGCAATCCACAATTTACCACAGAAGATATTTTTGCTGAAACGGCAACCATTCTCACTGGCGTTTGTTCAACTTCGACTCTTTCAGTTTTGGGCTTTCTCATGGAAATATTATTACAATTTATAGGCGACAGACACATCTTCTGCAGCGTCTGCGTTTGTTGCTCTAATGCTAGCACTACATCTGGAACACCAAGAAAAAGTGTTTCAGGAGATTGTAACGGTTTTACCGGATAAGAGTGCGGATTTCACGCAAACCGATCTTGAAAAGCTTGAATTTACGTAGGTTCACTTGCATAAATTCTTAGTAATAAAAATTTCTTACCTCCGTATCTGCTGTATCGTATGAACAGCGATTTGTGCATTCAGGAAACGTTACGTCTATTTCCAACGGCTCCATTAATTGGTCGCGTTGCGAGTAAACCCATTAAACTGAGTAATGGTGTCGAAGTTCCAGCAAACGTTATGTTCGTATTCGGTTTGCGTCAAATTCATATGAAAGAAAAATACTTTGGACCAACGGCCAACGTCTACGATCCATATCGATTTTTAGATGAAAATATGAAAAATTTACCTACAGCTGCTTATATTCCGTTTAGCTATGGACCTCGCAATTGCATAGGTATGGAGGCAATAAAAGAGTGATATAAAATCATTTATTAGAAAAATGTGATGATTTCCGAGTAAATTATGATGCTTACCAGGGCATTGAAGTTGCTGGCTATGTAGTGCTGCTGGTGAACAGATCTGTTTAACGGCAGCTATTGGTTGCGTGCATATTTGCTGTGACGCACGTTCGTTCATCTCCCGATTCTCACACACAGTGTTTTTCTCTTGCATTCACACGGAAAGAGAAAGAGAAGCACATACAACACACGAGATACATCGTAAGAGACGCGCGCGTGCATGCAAGCACATAGCTGCCGTTCGTGTTTCGTGTGCTTCATACGCTTCTCTTTCTGTTTTTGTGTGAATGCAAGAGACAAACACTGAAAATTTCGTCAAACGTACCAACGAACGTCAAAGCAGAATTCAAATTCAACGGTTTTCAAATCAAACACTATGCAATCGAATGTTTCCAATGTTTGTGTATTTTGAATCAAGTGCATCGATGAAAAAATGAAAAATGAGACAAATAAAAACAGAACACAAAAAATAAATTTAACATTCATTGGCTTTGTTCTTTTTCTCCTCTTCACTTGATTAAAGAAAACACAAACATTGGAAACATTCGATTGCATAGTGTTTGATTTGAAAACCGTTGAATTTGAATTCTGCTTTGACGTTCGTTGGTACGTTTGACGAAATTCGCAGTGTTTGTCTCTTGCATTCACACAGAAACAGACAGAGAAGCGTATGAAACACACGAAACACGAACGGCAGCTATGTGTGTGAAGCACGCACGCGTCTCTTACGATGCATCCCGTGTGTTGTATGTGCTTCTCTTTCTCTTTCCGTGTGAATGCAAGAGACAAACACTGTGTGTGAGAATCGAGAGATGAACGACCGCGCGTCTCCGAATATGCACGCAACCAATAGCTGCTGTTTAACAGATCTGTTCACCAGCAGCATTACATAGCCAGCAACTTCAATGCTCTGATGCTTACAACATTGGAGGAACTTTTTTCATTAATGAATGACCCGAATTCCGATCATTCAAATCTTTTTCATTAATAAATTATAGGTTACCACTATGCGAAAGCATCCGTAAAATGTTTTACCGCACATTTGGTTCGAAACTACCGTATAACAACATCTTACACACACATTGATCAACTTCAACTTGTTCAAAACGCCAGCTTCAGATTGGTTGATAAGCATATGATCAAATTGGAGGCCAGATTTTAATTCAGTTAAAAAATTGCTATATTCATAAAGCGATAAATGGTGAATGAAACAAGAAACGAAATTCATCCGGGTAAAATAAAAGGTATTATTTTGAATGGATTCTCACACTATAATTTCGGTTTAATTGGAGATGAAATGAATAAATGTCATGAATACCGTAAAATTTCCGTTTTTCATTTTGTATAAATACGACCATAATCGTTTGCACGCTAATAATATCTCGAGATTGGCGTGATATCGAGTTAGAGTAGCAATGCGACAATATTTTTTTTACAATATTATCGAGTGAATCTCAGCTACTCAGCTGCAATCAAACATGTGTTTTAAGATTGCTGAGCATCTCAGCATTTCGTAAGGCACGGATATATCCGAGCATATCGACGACGCATACTGTATAATACAGTGGCGTGTGTTGCTACGTGCAGCCGCAACGACTCGACCGAAGTGTGTTCAGTTGATGTGGTTGCACGCAGCAACAACATACACATTCCGGTCGAGTCGTTGCGGCTGCGCGTAGCAACGCACGCCACTGTATGCGTCGTCGATATGCTCGGATATATCCGTGCCTTACGAAATGCTGAGATGCTCAGCAATCTTAAAACACATGTTTGGCTGCAATTACAAAAGAATGACGTTTTCCCTGGACAAAGATTCATATTTTCCTGTGCGCGACGGCGGCGAGCTTTCACAAGAACAAATTCGATAAATGTGTTTTATTCAAATCACAAAGCATTCCAATGAATAGCTTGACTGGTGTGCGTTGTGCACAACACTTGCGTTAAAACTTGATCGCTATGTAACAATGTAGTTGCTGCGTTTAATATAGCACCTTTATACGATTTCCCTTCATTTCATTTGCAGCCCTGGCAGCAAGCAGTCAGTTCAGTTCAGACAGATTATTGCTACAACAATGCTGGTTCTCATTACAATTGTTATAGCATTAACTGTTTTCTTACTTTGGGAGCGTCGTCACTTATATCTTTTGTCATGGCAGTTGAACGGGCCCATTGCATTCCCGTTAGTAGGGAATGGATTTTCGATAGTAAATCCCCGCAGTAAGTTCCTCGAATTTCCGTACGAGTCATTTGTTTTATTGCAGCTTCATTTTTTAGAGCTATTACCTTATCTTGACAAGGTGACAACGAAATACGGAAGTCCCATCAGGCTGTGGCTTGGTCCCGAGATGGTGGTGTTTGTGTCTGATGCCGAAAATGTGGAAATTGTGCTAAAATCGAAAGAGTGTTTGAATAAACCACATAGTTTCTACAAGATAATCCGTGACGCGATGCAAGTCGATGGTTTTTTTACATTAAAAGGTGTTTGAATAGTGTTCGTTTTCCGATGAATCTTTAACCAATATACATATTTCGAAAGGAATGAAATAACAACAAATATGTGCACTTTTAGCGGAGGAATGGAAAATGCATCGTCGTCTGGTGAGTCCGTCGATAAATTTGGCCAGTGTCAGCGAACATTTGCCCATTTTCAATCGTCATATCCAGAAAGCAGTGAGTGAAATACCACCAAGCGAAGATTTTATCGATATTTTACCGTATTTGGTTACCTGCAAAATTAGCATGTTTGCTGAAGCAGCACTGGGCTCCGATATTGAGCCCAGCGTCAAACGAACGTACCTGTCAAATTTCACTGAGTAAGTTTCATCTCATTTACTTCATCTCTTCATTATTATTATGCAAATAATAATTATTCGCTAATTATTCAATCTGTACCTATCTAATGGAAATTAATAATTAACTTCTTGGAAATCTTTTATTCATCATTCCTTCTAGCTTTTTTCGCATAAATTGCATTGTTTGAATTATTTTTAGTTTCGTCGCTCGGTGCGATAAATATGTATAACACTATTCAATCTTTGAAGCTCCAATTGATATTGTAACATCAATTGAAGCTTCGAAGATTAAATTATAACTTTGCGATTATCTAATACTCGTTCTGGAATTTATCTCGAAGTTTTTATGAATTCAATTGGTGGTGAGAGTGATTGTCATCGATGCCAACCCGATTTTATAATAAATTATTAAAAGTGCTAAACTAATCATTATCAAAGAATTCATTATCATATGAGTAGTTTGGAGCGAAAATGCAATACAGAAAAGTTGCGCGGAAAAATATCGATGATGAATGAGCGGAAAAGGGATAGCTTTATAGTATACTGAATAGTAAACTATAGTGAACTATATAGCTATCTGTTTTCATTTGATATTTTTCGCTCCAAACTACTCATATAATGATCACATCAATATTTTTACCGTTCATTTCCTTTGATATGTGATCTTGAACTTGATACTTATTTTCCAGTGGCGTTGAAATTGTTGCCAAACGAGTGTTGAATCCACTGATGCACATCGATTTCATTTGGAATTTAACGGATTCGTCCCAACGTTTACGAGAGTATTCACGCTTTGGGCACGATTTATTCGGAAAAGTAATAATTTTTACCAGTGGTGGCTAATTCCTCCAATTCCACGAATATCTAATTTAATTATTCATCAATTAAATTATTTCGTTTTCGTTCCGTTCCAATTCACAATCCGCAGATTCTCAATGAAAAAGTGCACAACGGAAGTGATTCGTATTCGTTTTTAGAGCGACTATTAGATATTTCAAACGAAAACCCAAAATTCACTCATGATGACGTAATTGCCGAAACATCCACGATTTTAACGGGAGTACGATTGCATTCTATTTTCTAATTCACTGCAGATGTGCCAAGCATTGCACACTGTATTTAAAAAACGAACAATGTTAATTTTCAGGCAACTGACACATCATCGGCAGCCTCAGCGTTTGTGGCTGTATTGTTAGCATTGCACCCTGAATATCAAGAGACAGCTTTTCAGGAGATTTTAACGGTGATGCCAGATAAAAATGCTGAATTAACGCAAGCCGATTTGGATAAGCTTTTATTTACAGGTTTATTTGATTTATTAAAATAAGTCGGTTCTCGCACTGACACTTTGCTTGTTTTTTTCTCCAGATTTGTGTATTCGTGAAACATTGCGTCTATTTCCAACGGCTCCCATAATCGGTCGTATTGCAAGCAAACCCATAAAACTAAGCAATAATGTTGAAGTTCCACCGGGCGTGCCAATCATATTCGGATTACGTCAAATTCATATTCGCGAAGAATACTACGGACCAACGGCCAAACAATTCAATCCATATCGCTTTTTGGATGAAAATGTTAAAAATTTACCCGGAGGAGCCTATATTCCCTTTTCATATGGCGCTCGCAATTGCATTGGTGAACAAAATGTTTTTATTCCGTTTGAATTCACATTTCGAACGATATTTCTTGAACATATATGTTCATTGATGATGAGTTTATTGATCTGGTTTCAGGTTACTTTTATGCAAAAGTATCGGTGAAATGCTGCATTGTGCACTTGATCCGGAATTATCGACTTACAACTCACTATAAACACATGGATGAATTGATGCCCATTTTAAATACAAGCATGAGATTAGCCAATAAGCACATGGTAAAGCTGGAGCGCCGAGAATACTAACGAAGAAAGAATAAAAGAGAAATGAACGATAATCTGCACTTGCATCGATTTGTTGCATCTATGTGGTACGGGTATGTGGTATAAAGCTCAATGGCACCAATCGATTGAATTGTTTGCCTGAACACTGTCAATACAGTAGAAATGCGGTGTTTATGTGAAGTGCGGAAAAAATGTATATATATCAAGCAGTTAATCATCGATAATAACGATAATTATAATTATTGTCATAAACGACATTAGGCATTTCTCCCATAAACAAAAATAGTATTAAAATAGTTCTACCAAAGGAAATTACACAACGAAATTATGCTCAATAAAATATTCAAATACTTATAATAAAAAAAAAGTTTCTTTTCTCTTTCTCGCTTTTTCATTGAGCTTCATTTTTCATGTTTTCTTTTCGTGCTTCACATCGGTTGAATATCAAGTTGAAACGCCACCGTCCTTCAAAACAATCGACACATATTTCCGCCTTTTTTCATTCATATTTGTCGCATGCAATTAAAATTGATTGATTTATCAATTTTTCCAGCATTTTGAAAATACAACATGTAATTTTAAACAGTGTTCAAGGTATGCCTTTTAACCATAGGTGAGAAATAAGAGAAAAAAATGATTAACTTACCTCATGTTATTTTATGCTGAAGCGAAAAAGTTAAAAGGAAAGAAAAGAAGAGATAAAAATGAAAAAAAAAAACGACTATAAAACGATATTTTTTCCATTTTTTCATTTATAAATCGTTAATTTCAAAATCAATTCACAATTGTGGGCCTTAATTGTGGTATTTTCAAACTAAAATTAGGCTTAGAGTATTTTTTATCGTCAATTTGTGATATTTCTATTTATCTTAACACTGATTTCTGTTCATATTTTGAATTTTTTTCTTCTGAATTCCACGAAATGTGGTTTGAAACGTAAAGTTTGGAGACAATGGGAGCATCATGTAAGCTAGATTTTCTTAGCATCGTTCCGGGGATTGTTGTTGGATCAAACACCAAAATGTAACGTGTCCGAATTGTAAATTGTTACAAAGAGTATTTATTGGCTCCATTAAAACCAAGACTAGCCGTAAAAGCATTTCTTGGAATTCCAAACATAGGCATACCCCACTCCACACACACATACAATCGGACTCGTTATATTTTCGTATCAGTTCCTCCTGCTGGGCTGCGTAAATTGGGGTTTCGTGTTGTAATGCTACGTGATATATATGTTTAGTTTAGCATTTAGCACTAGCAAGTATGCAAGAACAATTATAACAATCTTTCTAATTAATGCTTAGATTGCGCGCATATATGTATTGTACATTTACACTGTTGATAGAGGGGTTGAGAGGAGGGGAGTGAGTATCTGCTGTTGCCAGTGTTGGCGTAATCTATATATACTAAATATGTAACGTTATATTTCTGAAAGGTCTTTTTCACAAAAAACACTGTACACTATCTGTGCTTGGTTGTTGTTGTTTTTTTATGGTTTTTTACTCTTAGATTATCATTTTATTCACAAAGGAGCATTTCCGGAGAATTTGTCAATGCAGATTGAAAAGTATGGAATATTTCTAGTTTAATCTGTTTTGTTTTTATTTCTGGGATATGCTCCGGCTGATGATATGTTGCTTCAATATCGAGAGTACACCAAAAATGGAAATGTGGCGGGTTTTTATGGCTTAAAATTTGGTGAATATTTTAGTTTTTTTTATCAACATCTGTTGAGGCTTATACACTTTCGAGCAATGTTGTTTTTGCAACCGAGATTTGGCGTGGGTAAAACTTTTGCTGTTTAATATTTTCGTAATTCATGAAAATGATCATTACATCCACAGCATTAACCAACTAATACGGTAGCGCGTGAATGTAAGTTTATATAATATTTTATGGAAAAGCAGAGGAAAAAAACCAAAACTTTTCACATAGATTATCTTTATCACCGTTGCACAGTATGTTCATTGTTTGCTCGTTACATAGTGTTATGCAAAATAGAATAGAAACATCGGAGGCGCGAACTAAAATGTTGTTCATTGAGAAAAGTGCTGAATATTCAAGTGTCATCGCCAAGTTTACGCTAGATATTGTACATTTCATTTTTTCCACCACCGCTCTTTCCGATTATAACCACACCTTTTAGCAGTTGTATGTGGTTGGTGGAGTTTATAAGACGATAATGTTTGTGGCTTGTGTTTTTGGCACGAGCCAAATCTTTTCTTCGACGGGGATAAATCCGATTATTTCATACATTTTCATTATCTAACGATCGGAAAGGCTTAAGAATTACATGCCAAAAACGGTTAATTTGATATTCCATACAGTTTCATTGGTTTGTTTTTTTATTTTGTCTTTCCGTGTTTATTTCATTTATTTCTTGATGAAATGAGAAATTCGTGGGTTTGTTTACTTGATATCGGGGATCAAAATATTGTTTTTTTCCTACATAAATTATTGACTATTCCATATTTTCGTTTATATTCTGTCCGTTTAGCGAAGCAACTTCTGAATAATGTACAAATATTTAATAATGTCATTCACATTGATACACACACATTTAAATGAATTCCCTTCATATTTCCAATTTGAAAATGAATTGTGTCACAGTATCACAATACGCTCGATTCCGTTCTCATATATAGGTCAAATAAATTCATTATTATGTACATTGGTCAATCAAAAGGTCTAATTGTAAAATGAATTAAATATAATGTTATCAATATATCATTTTAAATACTAGCCTATTCACCTAGTTGTTGAAAATGATTTTTTATCCATTTTTAATTTACTCGTTGATTCAAAATATATGCTTTGCTTGCAAACACATTAATATTTTTCCTCGTTTCTTTTTTTTTGATTATTCGACGTTTTTTTCTTCTTCTATTTTCGAAATATCGAAAATCGCATACATAATAAACGAAGTTCACCTTTCGAAAACAGGAACGGAAGTGTGGAGCGCCCATCTGACTTTTCAAATTCGATAAAATTCATCTATCAGCAGAGCGAACGTAATTCCGGTATCAAGCGATGACAGTGGCCATTTAAAATAAATATTACTGTGGGAATATAAACTCCAAGCCAATATTGCGATGCGGCCGCAAAGCGTGATGACACAGCACTTCCATGATACAATTCGGCAAGACTTTCGCCTGAGAGAGAGGGGAAACCATCGAACAAATGAAAAAATGAGAAAAAGTGAGAAATGCTCAAGTGCTGAGAAATATCTAAATAATAATGATAAATGATGGTGAATGGATGTGGTAAACGAAATAAAAATGAGACACCAAAGAAAATTGAGAATGAAAAAACCCCATCGGATGAGGAATTTTTCTTTCCATAAATGGCCAAACAAAAAATACGGAAACGAAAGGAAACCGCAGAAATGACAGAGACAAAGAGCGAAAATTACCATTTAAAACCTGAACATTTATCGTGTAAAAGTCATTTGGTCCAATGGAACACGTATAATTGCCCGTATCCGTTTTTCGTACTTTGGCTATGAATAGCGTTGAATTAGCACCGTTTTCCATTAAGTCTGTTTTGACGCTGCAGAATGTAAAAGAAAAAAGATTTATGTGTGCGAAATTCAAGCGGAGAGCGATGGAAAAAATAAAACTTCCAATTCGAATTTAATTCGCAAACGATTTCAAAGTTTTCAATCGTTTCAACAATGGCAAACTTTATACTATTTAGACCGTCATCGTTGCGGTTTTTATTTCAAGCTGTTTTGAATCGCATCACGTCGAACGTAAATTTCAAGCCAAATATTTCAGTTGGCACAGCTTGGTGATGTCGGAAATAAGTTTCCCGCCAAAAACTTTGCCCACGTTGAACGTTTCAATTAGCCTAATTAATTTAGGCACTCAACTTGTCGCTTGAGCGACCGAATCTCTCTTGATCAACCATTCGATTCGATTCACCAAATTTGTCGTTTCAATTCCGAAGCCGTGTGATGATGGGTTTGTTTTCACTTTTGTCCCTTTGTGTGCAGACATCCAGAGCCAGTCGAAAGTGAGAAATTCGTCGCTCGAACGAGCTGCTCGTTAAATCAAACAATTATCCCACGGTGTTTACGATGTTAAAATACAGCGTTTTCCACGTATGAATGATGCGATGCACGGTCGGGTTATGACACATACACGTTGTTTATACCGTTCGTTCGTCGAAAAAAGCTATCAATTTCACATTGGATATGCATTTGACTGCCGATCTTTGTTGACACAAATATTCCGAATGCCATGTTTCATTCACGCAAACACATCATTGTGTTGATCCTTTGACATCAAAAACTTAATGTGAAAACACTTTCGTAAATTTATCAATGATGCCACCCGTTGCCACCGCCAAAAATAGTTGCTGCAATAAATATCCGGTTTCTCACTAAAAAAATCATTAAGCCGAGAATAGCATGTCAAGCCATCCGCACGTTTCACTTGTTTGCAACGAAATAAGTCATTAAGATATTAGCGTTGCTTGTGCTAAATGTCAAGAGAGATGGAGCGAGAGGAGGAAGAGGAAAAATGTTGAACTATGAACTCAATAGTTGCCACCACATTGAAGCTATACACGTCCTTAAAATTGGCATCTAAAGGGTTTAAGCCGCAATTAGCACGTGAAACTACGGATATAAGGACGTGTTTATCAACTCGATTTCGGTGGAAATTTACCGACAGCTTGAAAGCTATGATGATACACTGCGAAAGAGTTTATGTCATAAGTACGGCACGTGAAACGCAAAATTTGAACGCTCAATTTGCCATTAAGCGCTCGCATATGTACTTTTGAATTACACAATGCGATTGGGTAGAAATTATTCGGATTCAACCTTGTGTGAATTCTGTGTAAAATATATACACATATAAAATGCTCTCGAAAATTATCGAGAATGTTGGCATGGATTGAGGATATTTATTAGGAATTTGAAATAAATTCAATTCAACGTAAGAGCTTATTCGATTGTATACATATTAGATATCAGAATGAGGATTTTCATCTATGCATATTCATTTCATTTGCTTAATAGGACTTTGAGTTAAATATTGAAATGTAATTTAAAGGCCCGTCAAATGAGGTATTTACATCTCATGCATTTCTAGTTACTTGGAACGATTCGTTAACAAAATGTGGCATTTGAAAACTTTGAATTAACAAATGTTGCTCATTATCAACTCACTTTCGCAATGAGCGCGGTAGATTTGAGTTATGACTTCGTATTCCAATGACATTTGGTGGTTTTGCGATCTTTGATTTTATTTCAATTCTTCAGCGGAATCTCTTCTGAATAGACTAGTTCAAGCTAAATTTAGAAATAAATGCGATAAAAGGGACAATAATATTAGACCGGAACAAATCGGCTTGGGCGTTGTCGTTTGTTCAAATATTATTGAAATAAAAAAATACATTATTTCCTTGTGTCCACAGTAGCTCTCGTTCTTTATTTGAAGTTGATTGTATGAGTGAGTAAAAAAAATAGGATATCGCAGAGAATTCATACCTTGTGTCCATATCAGTGTATTTATTATATAGCCATGAGCGAATCAATATACAGGCAAAAGATAAACGAATTCATTTTGAAATTGCTCGAATGTAAGCGTATTTATCTATTCGGCACCTTATCACTATAGTGATACCTATAGACAATGTCAAAGATGAATACAATGGCTAAGACGACGGCGCCTGTTCAGGGCGATGTTGTATTCTTTTCCAAATTTCCGATTAATCAATAAGAGGCTTGTGCAAATTGAAAGCCCAAATGTATACGAACGCGTGTTTGGATTCTAAAGGCAAAGCACAAACAATGAAAAAATGCAAAAGATTTCGAAACATATTTCGACACGTGTGTGTGTTTTGCCTATTCTATTGATTGAGCAAATATGGTTTGAGCAAATATGGTGTGAGCAAAATGAAAATGTTTTTTGTGATTTTCTAGGGGCCATTTTTTATTTCTTAAAATGGTGTAAAATCAAAAGAGGGAAATTTGGGTGAGGAAGCGCCGATTTTTTCCATCCTCTTGTCTGATCAGCATACAAATCCATATATTATCGAGTGTGTGTATTGATTATCATCATCATCATCATCACATCTGCACGTAGTATGGCCAAAAGAATTCACATGTTACCCCGTTCGCAGGCATTCGTATTCGCATTTCATTTCATTTTTTATTGTATTTTACGTTTACATCGAAAAATGGGAATTTTTCACGTCGTTTTCGTTCGGCATGTGATTATTGTTCGTTTATTACTTATGTTTATTTGTTGTTATATCGTCAATAATCGCGACTCGTTTTATTCCTTTGTTCATTTTTATCGTTCGATGCTCATTGCTCATCCATTCAAAAGTGCCATCGGTTTTTCATTCGTTTTCTCGCTTTTCTTCCTTTTATTCGTTTTCACATTGGAATTTCACCTTCGATTGTTATCGATTCTGCGAATATTGTCGCGCCGTTTTTTTTTTTGTTATTTGATTATGTTGTGCTCTTCTATGGCCTTATTATTATCGTCAAGTATTCTGGTTCGAAGATCACGTTGAATGTCAATGGAATTGCAGTAGTCAATGCGATGGGAATAATCTCTCCATCGGAATCCATAGAGAGAGGAGGACAAAGAGAGAATGATGCGAAAAAACTCCATTTTACTCTTCTGAATAATCATTTATTGATTCAATGCACGTACTATGACGACACATAACTGCATACAGCGATAATTTGTGACTACGAAATTGGTTAACTTTTCAATTCTGTGGGCGCTGCCATATTGAAAATTTATGTGCGATATGGTGCACGCACTCAATAGTTCAACTTATTTTAATAAGGAATCTCTATAGGTGGCGCTGCCACATCGTCATTGACATCGAGTCAAATATTGTCAAATATAATAACACTGTTTATATAGGCTTTTATCGCAGTACGCATAACTGCCTGCCTCATGCCCTCGTACTCGTACACTTTTTCAAGTGTGTTAGATTGGTAGAGAGCATTGCAGATCAAACCGGTGATTTTGTCAATGATTAAAGTGGGGTAGAGCAGCGAGCAGGCAGATCGATGCGATGCAGATATTTTGACGCGTTCTTTTAATGATGTAGAAAGGTCGAAGGCTGCGCATTATATCATTTTCGGCAATATTATAACTCAGATTTTGCTTCAGCTTCACTGCACATCGACGCTTTTTTTCCTGCTGCGTCGTTGCTCTTCGCCTTCTGACTCAATCTCCAGTCGACTTGCTGGTGAAACCATTGTTGAACAAGTCGAACCAAAATACACACACACACAAATAATGTCTGTGTCAAAAGTCTAAATCGATTTGTTACAATGAATATAAAAATAACCAACCAGTGGGTTACAGTCTAGATCTATTTTTAAAGTGTGGACATACTTGCACACATCACAGTAACAATGTCAATTTATGTGAAGCGGTTGGTTGGAATGCTATTTTTCCAACAGAAAATCCGAATGACATTTTAATGGAATCTGGTCCATAATGGAGTTTTGTATCCATTGGACATATTTTTTCTTTTTTGCTTATTCACTCTCGCTCGCTCTCTATCTCTCGTTTGTTTGGAATGCACTGCGTATTTTGTATGCACAATGTATATCATTTGAAGAGATTCGGCTGGGCAAGTGACAAAGTTGTAAATAAAATTAATTGTTTAGCTTTTGGAAAAGTTTTCATAACGAGCTTTTCTGAGTAAATGACAGTAAATTATTCAAAATACACACATTAGACGGAGCAGCAGCAACACCGCACGAACGTTGCACAAAGTTCAAACGAGAAATTCGATTCAATTTTCTCAAGGCCGACAATAAATTCCGTTGGCCGGCAGAGCAGAGATGAACGAATGAACACATACACACGCACGCACGAACACCCCACATATGAAATGGCTTGTTGTGCAAAGTTCTGAAAATGCAGATCAGAGGGAAACATGCAAATAAAGCAACGGGATATGTAAAGTACGAGCACATTTCAACGAGAATTTACTTTCCAAAATGAGATAGAGAGTTTACCAATTAAATGTGTTTTGTTGATTTTCGAAAATTCAGCAGAGCAACCAAACCGTAAACTTGTTTCGATCCAGCCAATCACATCGAGTCGATAGAGGAAGAGAGAGGGAGAAAGAGAATGAATGTGGAAGTGAGGACAAAAAAGAGAAGCATTCGTAATGTGTTTTTTTTTGTGTGTGTAATGAACATGTCTTTGGCCAATTTCTTCTTATGTTTCGCACTCATGTGGAAACTTGGCAATATTTTTGTTGAAAATATTTTATGGCACGTCGACGTGTAATTGAAGGACTTTAACAACAAGAATATGAACATGTCGCAACATACAAAAAGCAATAACCATTTGTGTCATAGTATTTCCGTCCCCGATTCATACACACATATACCGTATGTACGGTTTTACTATAAAACTTGTCACTTTTGTTTTGCAATCAACCCGTTCCACCCGAACACGTACCGCACAACAGCCAATGGACACAATTTCAATTTGAAAAAACTCGTTTTTTGGTTAGAACATAAAAACGAGACACAACGCTCTGAACGTAGCTTGATGTAATTTAATTCGGACAAAGCTCATTGCTCCAATGAAAATTAAGTTTGTGCTGAGGGAGATTCATTTGAAATGACGTTCATCTCCATCAACCAGTATGCTTCGCACAAGGAATCGAGAAGATCGAAAACGTGCGGTATAAACCACTTCTCATTTATTCCCAACTGGATTTTATTCAGCGGGTTTTTTTTCTTTGTTTCTATCTCGTGATTTTATGTTTTGCGCAAAATTCACCAATCTGTTTGCATTTGATAAATTGGTTGAAATTTTTATCGGATTTTTTTTTTCTACGGAAAAATTGTGCGGATGTGATTCCAGTATTTTTTCTTCGTTCATCGTCCAGCTGTTGACCAACATCGAAATGTTACATCGTCAATCGTACGTGCGCATCGCTGTAAATAAAGCGGATTTCGGATGGAATATTTTATGGATCAACTTACCTAATGCCACCGCGTGTCATATCATAGTTCAGCATCTGGTTTCCGTGTAGCCAAGACACAGTGGATGACAGCATCGACACATGTCGGACAGTGCACACCAATTCAATGGTCGAATCGACTTCATAATATTTGTCCACCAGCGGTTGCTCGAATTCGTCAACGATCAACACTTCCGGAGCTAGGAAAATAAAAGTAAAAAAAAAGGAGAGAGAGAGAAATGAATTAAAAATGCTAGAACGAATGTAGACAAAGCAAATATTTGCTCGAAAATTGACTTTGTTCGTCTGTTTTTACATGGAATTTCGTGAACTCATTGTGAATTGTTGTCAGCAAACGTCATACTTTTTTCGGTTGTTGTTGATTTATTTCCATCCACAGTAAATGCCTGTGAATTTCGTTTGATTTGAAAAACTTTTGCCAACAAGTTGTGTTGGTTTATTTTGTGCCATGCATCGCTTCAACCAACATAATTATGTTTGTGTTTGGCATAGATGCTTTATATTTGCAATTGGGTTTTTTTTCTTTCATTTTCATTAACTTTTCGTATTTTTACTGAACGAAAACTTTCTTCTGCTTAGAAGCGCATCCTAATTGTTCCCATTTAGTCGAAGTTTAATTTATTCGCTCAAAGTTTACTCACGTATTTCAATTCATTCAATGGCTAGCATCAGATGTATACTACTTTAAATCGTTTCAGAGAGAGAGAGAGAGAGAGAGAGATAGAGAGAGATTCAGTGGCATGGGTAGAGAAAGAAATACGAACATTTTCTTTTCTACATTTACTGACTAAGGGATAAAATGAAATGGAAGTCTTCTTGGACTGCATTCTATGTGCATTTAATGAGACCACAAACAAGGTCAAACAACGGTGATAGAACGCTAGCAAACAACAACAAGCTCAGTGCGATATATTTCCTTCGGTTCACAAGAGATAATCGCAATCAAATCTACTTAAACTAAAAGGTTTTTCCGTTGAATGCTCAGCAATTCCACGAATTCAACCTCTTCGACCCAATCTAAATCACAGTAATCTACGGTTGGGACAAATCCAGCAATGAGCTTATTAATTGATTTCCACGAATTACACAAACATTTCAGTCGATTCCCAGGAGGAGTTGATGCCAACAAGTATAAAATATATTACTTTAAACTTTAGACTGCTTGTGAACAATACCAAAATATCAATAAATGAGATTGAGATTAGTGTATGTTTCACTGACTTTGTTATGAAAGAGAAGAGTAAGTTTCTTTCGACTTAAAAATGGTTAAAGACGAGTATGTTCATTTTTGGCGTCACGGATTTTTGCGGTTTTCGTGGAACTGATAAGAGATAAAAACTTTGTCTCTTCGGAAAAGTTGTAGTACTTGAAGTCTCCTATAACTAAGCTGAACAAAGTTATCTTTTATCTCTTATCAGTTTCACGAAAAGCGCGAAAAATGATAAGAAAAAAAAACTTCTGTATAAATTTTGCTTTTTTTTGTACGCGATTTGCGCGAAACTGATAGGCCGTGAAAACCGCGGAGGTTAGACGGTACGCCAACATACTCTACTTTAACGCCTACAGAATCATCAGAAAAGATACTCGCCTTTTCAAAAATATAAATCGAAGATAAAACATACTCCACTCTCAATCTCACCCATAGATATATTACACAATAAAATAAATATTATGGTCGGACGTTTCAACAAAAACAACAATATCTTTTCCAAGTAATTCCAAAGTTTGACTACAAACACACGCAAACAGAATTCTACAGTCCAGTGGGCGTTGAGTGGGCCAACAATAATAATCCATAACTCAACGTTGTTGTGTTTCGAGTGGAAACGAAAAGTTTTCGAGTAAAATTTCAATAAACAATTGTTGGGAAATATAAAATAAATGATATTTTCAGTTTCCTCATTCACCGGAAATGACCTGAAAATTTGTTTATTATGGATGAGCTATGAAATAACGAGTAAAAGTCAAATCCACTATTAGACTCTTTAATTCATAGTGTGCGTTCAATTTTGGATACATTTTCAAATCCAATATTCAGATTCCGAATTTTTGAACTGTTCGATTTTAAGCCAATATTTCGATGGCATATAATATGTATTTGCATTTTAATTAACCCAAATTCGGAGTGCACACTGCACGTCGAACTGTAATGCGTTTTTGCATTGTTTTTGAGTCGACATCCGTGAATGGAAGTGCGGCTCGTGTGGAAGAAACGAAATGTATTGATAAAATTTGCAATACGAAACAATTAATATTTGTTGCAGCAGTTCGCCATTTTTCTCGATTTGCTTCGTGACTGTCGAGCGGCACACAATGGAGCAATTCGAAATTGTAAAAATTCCGCTCGATAAATCAGTGCTTAAGTAGTTTTTTAGTTGAGAAGCATTAAATCCCCATTGGGTCTAGACTGAAATACTCTGATCTGTGTTTCATTAAAATAAATAGGTTTCACTCATTTCGAAATGAACAATCAACGGATACGTTGGGCCGCAAACACGGAACACTGCATTTTAAATGGAAGTGCTTGCATTAAACCAAGCTTGCGAAGAGTAAATACTAAACGTGATGCCAACTGAAGCCATTATCTGAGTAGCAGATCGTCGGATGTGTGGCGCATTTATGGTTGTGGTCGATTGTCAAAAGAGTTCGTAATGACGATGGATGGGCGTATGAATAAACTTATCGGCTCTAAGTGTGCTTGCATTTTTATTCGCTGAACATTCCATTTGACAAATGCATAACAACGGTGTTTTCTTTGAACCATATTTTCGGTATGTGTGTTGCTTCAATTCACTTGATGTGCGATTTTGTCCATGTGTACAACAGCGAACGAGAAAGAAAAGCATTAGGTATCAAACGCATTAGCTTTGCAAAAGCAAATGCCAACAATTGTGTGAGGTTCGTATCAAAGGGAACGAAAAAACACCGGATTTGCCGAGGCTTACCTTTGACATGGAGCCGTGTACGGATCGCCCTTGGTGGATGTGTTGATATTTGGCACTCATAAAGCCCTCCATCGGTTTTGTTGATGTCGGCTATTCGCAGACGCCAGTTGTTTGGGTACTCGAATTCGACGCTAAATCGTTTATCAAACGTGTATGTTTGAACACCAATCGTTAGCAGTTGAATATCGTAATCGTTATTCTGTTCACGTTTCAACCATGTTACCTACATACATACGCGCACACAGACAGGATAAATTGAAAAAAAACACGCCGCTTAAAATCTATTTTATTGGCGTCGTTTTGTTTTATGATTTATTCTATCCAACTATAAACCGTTTGAACATAATAGAGAAAACGAGATGCGGGAGGGAGCGGATTTGAAGCGCCAATAAATATTCAAAATGCCACATTTATGAAGCTTTTTGAAGATTTATTGCCAAACAGTTTTGGGAGACCATTAGGTTGATTCAAATCTAATTATGTGCAGAACTCGAAAATCCAACAACAAATCCGGCTCCACCGAATCGGCATCGAGTCGATGCTCGGTGTTAATAAGCGATTAATTCATTAAATGCTTGATGATATTATTTACGGTTTTATCTTGTAGTAGACGAATCCGGCAATTTAGATAAGCGATGTTTCCGACCTGTGCAGAAACATTCCCGACTTTTTCAGCAACATGCACGTCATCGAAATGTGGACCGTATCTGCAAAAAACAAATGAATTATTCAAAAGAAAAACGAACAAATTTAGAAATTTCAGTCTCGTCGCATGAGGGACTGTCGAAATGTGAACATCTGGCTGAATCCGGCTGGAGTGGTGAAAATCATTTCATGAGTTTGCCGATCTAACGAGCATCATCTGCAATCCACCAAATTTGAATATTTAATTAGATGCTCTCTACACATACACACAACAACCCATTCAACTCTTTCACTGTCTCATTCGGCGGTGCATTTTTCTTCTTCGTCGTGCCTCGTATTCTTTCAATCCTTTAATTAAACGAATACTCACTGGCGACGTACCCGAGTGAAAACTGGCGCATTCGACCAAATATCGATATCAAATACACCGTGCTTTACGCTCTGCAGAATTTTAATTAAAATTGAAAGACTAAAGACCAATGCCTGCGATTTGATATCTCTCTCTCTCTCTCTCTCTCTCTCTCTCTCTCTCTCTCTCTCTCTCTCTCTCTTTCACCGCCAGAGTATAGAGAGAGACAAGCTGATGAAAACATATATAACGCCGCACGGTACGGCGCCGCAGCTGCGATTCGCTTGCTCGAAATTTTGTCGAGCATTTAAAATGCACGTCGTTATTAGACATGCGATGGCCAAAATTGGCGCTATTTATTTGAATGTGCTGATATTCGAATGCAGAAAGAATTCATACACGTTTCACCGTGTTTGCACACGCAAAAAGAATTTAGACACCGAAAGAGAATATGATATGAGAGATGCGCAGATGAGCACGTGACATTCGATATGTTTTGCATGTCGTTTCCATTCGATGTAATTACATTTTGCACTTTGTTTACTACTGGTTTTGCGTACCAGACCATTTTCATTCTATTTTCTCTAATTGTTGATGCAGCGCTGTTAGTATCGTTCCCATTGCATGCGTCCATAATGCAAAGTAATCCATTTCGTTCCATTTTTTGTCGGAGCATTTTTCCTCAAACGTCAATGAAACGGTTGGAAACGGTCTGCGTCCAGCAAATTAATTTGTATTAATATTCCCATTTAACTTGCGCTACGAGTGAATGTCGAGAATTCCAAGCGAAAAATATTTATTTAGAACTCGGATATGTGCCCAGTAGGTGAGAATTTGTCCAGGAATTTTTGTCATGCAAACGAAGTGCGCACAACAAGTTATACATTGTCATAGGCAAAACGTTCCAGACACACATATTTTACCAAGTCCACTCAACATTTTCATGACGATTAGAAACTAACGAACCACTGGAAATTCGAATAGTTTACGTAATTCGTGCATATGCAATGTGCTAAATATCACTGCAACAGCGATATATTCCGAAATATAAATGCCGTCGCGTTCATTGTTCCGAACGAGAAGAGTTGTGCGTCGCATATTTATGTTCAAGCGTATTGCATATATGGTTGAATTCATCAACCTATTCCTCTTCTAAGCTCTCGCTACGAGCATGGAATTATTCGGTGCACACACACACATGCTCGAAATGTCCGTGTATTATCATTGACGGCACAACATATACGTACCTTGGGTCATAATGGCGATGCTTGTTCGTTAGATGCGAGTCAAAAATGTAATTCAACATCGTGGGCGCATCTGTTTTATGGAATTTTTGCGGAGCTGTATTATTGTTTGCCGATGCAAATGGTGATGACGATTTAATTGAGGTACGTGAGCTCAGTTGATTCCGTGAGACGACCGTTGCTTTCGTATTGTTTCTACTTCGTTGCAATGGGTTTGGTGTTTGAAGATTTGCTGCTCCAGTGGCCAGCGCGATTACAGCATCACTTGGCATCGCAGAGACAACTGTCGACACGGGAATTACGGTTGCCAATGCTTCGTTAACGAAATCAACAGCCGTACCATCATCATTTCCCATCAATTCGGTGTTGGTATCGTGCTGTTTTGACAATGGCGTCGCTACGAATGTTGATGGTGCTGCACTTTCAACGCCGGTTAAATTCACACTCATCTGATGCTGATAAGTTGTAATGGATTTGTGCGAGTCTAGTTCCGTTCCATTCTGATTGTATGCATCCATGGCAGATGTGGTGGCTAGTTTTGTGTAGGCGAAATGGAGATGGAAGAGAAAAAAAAAAATTTGTTGGATAAAAGACAAATATCACTCTTGCATGAGAAAGACGGGTGGGTAGATTGATTGACCGGAGAAAATTAGACATTTGAATTCGAGAGGAAAAATATTTCGTTTCTGAGGACCTTTTCTGCGGAAACGCGGTCATGGTCACCATTGGAATGTCTCTCGAAATTCTCGAATGTTTAAAACCAATTTGTAAGGAAAGGTTCAAACAGAAGAAATCTTCGAAGATACTAGATGTCCTAAGTATGCAATAAAAGCATCTACGGAGTCATTTATATCAGTTTTACTCCGCAGATTTATTATGCCTTGTTACGGTTTCATTTTTTACAGACGACGATAGTTGTTAAGTCAAAGGCAAAGTATACTCTGGTTTTTACCTGAAAAGCTCAGCTCTCGACGGAAACGAGTGTATGTTATTAAAACCACTCATAATTTCAGGTTTACGAGTCAGGTGGTTTCTTCTCGAGATAATTATAAGAAACTGAACTTGGTTCACTATTCGCACAGAGCTTCATATAAATTATGGTACTCTGTTGTTTTTATCATGAAAATGTTCTTCTAGTCGTTCTACTCATTGTTTTCATTTATTTCCTTGTCTAATATGCAATAAAATGAAACTAAGATCCACATAGTAATTTGTTTCGTCTTTTTTCGCCAAAGATGAATGGAAGAAAAAATATCGCAGATTTTTCAACCGCATGCAAGTACGCAGTTTCGCAGAAATACCATTATGCAGAGAAATCTTAAATTCTAAAAATATTGCTCCACTGTAAACCAGTAAAAAAATATAATTTTCCACGAGTTACTTTAAAGCCCTATATTAAGAGATTTGACGCTCATAAAAAATGCATCGATGCAAAAAAAGTAAATGATTCAAATTGGCACATTGCAAAAGTTCAATCTTCCATTAAGAGACGTTGGATCTTTGAAATGACGATGATGAATAATTTAAAAATAATGAAAATTTCTTTACATTTTCCGTTTGAGGGAACCAGGACTATTCGAATTGCGATTGCTTGCTAGATTTTCAAGCCTTTGGCAAGTTGTTTGGAAGCAGCACATCAAAGCGAAACTTTCCATTTTTTGTTACACGGACTAATCGCTGCAAAAAATGGGTTTCCATTGGAACATAACAATAAGATTACACACCAGAGCCATTTTGTACACATCTTCGAAATCAATTCATATTATGATGCTTTAACTGGCACACAACAGTATCCACAAAAAAGACTATGAAGCTTATGTGTGCCGTTCCATTCGGAAACATTCAGTGAATACGTATTATTCTCAATGAACATCCATTTAGAAGGAGGAAAAAATTCAAAGAGAAGAAAAACCACCACACAGTTCAAATAAAAATGGTGTAAACAGATGTAGAGAGAGCAAGAGAGAGGGGCAGCAAAGCGAAAGTTTGTATAAAGTTGCACATTCGCACGCGAAACAGCATTAAGAAGTGATGGTACTTTTTTTGAAGAAAAAGGTCACGATAACATTCTTCTACGGAAGAACGTTGTAAAAACTGGGTCTCAAGAAATTGTGGAAAAACTTTGGTATTTGATCAAAATTCACATACGTGAACATGCATAAACATTTATTCATATTTATTTTGTAATCGTTTTTGCTGCTTTTGCTGTACAGACTTGGCCGTCGCTGCTGCGTCAATGCATTTTCACTGGAAAAGCGTCTGAATGCTCGTCGGTCGTACTGATTTCGCTTTTTCCTCGACTGGTTTTCGATGGACCGCTTTTTTATTGCTTTACTTTTGGTAAGCGTGTAAATTCGTCAATGATTTATGTCTGCATTTATGAATTTATGTTTACTGCTTCGATGGTTTTTTTTTCTCTTCTTCCTTCGTTGGTGCACAATTGTGAATACATGGTGCACGCGCCGCCATCGGCTCAGCACATTCTGTAAATATGCAAATACTAAATTCACTGAATCACGTTTCGATTTGAATTCTATGAATTGGTTCTGTGGCCAATATTAAAAAAACGCAAGGCTAAAAATGACGACGCGAAAACGTGAGTGCTTCCACTTTTTGGTGTTTAAAAAACCATCAAATTCGCAGAAAAAAATTCATTGTTTTTAAATTAGTTCAAGTGTTTTGTTTTCATCGTTATTATTCGTCTCTGAGTAGACCAATTTCGGATGTTTTCATTTAATTTCATGCTTCGTCCGTAAGGTATTCCAATATTAACATCGTTCAAATGCACAACGGGCCATGAACAATTCAGTCAACCGTATGAGCTTAACCATGATGGCAAATTAGTTTTCGTTGTGATTGTGTATTGGGAAATAATGGATCTATGATATGGATTTTGAAGCTAAGACGCACTAAACCAACCGCAGACAACGATTATTTCCGACTGAACATAAGCCGCCATCGATTATCCATTTATCAATTAAGCGTTTTCAATTAATATTTGAAAATGACTTTAAACTTGGGTTCTTCATCATCAAACATTGACGCGCTTCGATTGACGAAGGGATATAAAACAAGGGCCCAATTTTTAGATGACATTTTTTGGAAATAAAACAATATTTGGGATTAATTCGTTTTTTTTTTCAAGTTGTTTACTCACCAATTTCGCTAGTCTTTACGTCACTCGTTTTGATATTCATGAGAGCGTTGGCATCGAAACGATGCACTGATGTTGGTAATGTGCTGTTGTTTTGCACATCTTGTGCCGATATCCGTAGTATCGCAATGAAAAGATTGATTACGATCGACAGCATGAAATAAACGAGACAGCCGGCGGGTGGTTCTCGATAGCCAATCATTTCGTCACCGTCTGCACATATATTTCGCAGTAAGTTCAATGAGTTTTAAATATGCGAGGCGTGAATACTTAACACTTGTCAGTTGGAAAATTGTTACTTTTTGGTTGAATACCTGGAATTGTAAATTTTATTGATGAATGAGAAATGAAAGTAAATTCGTAGTTCATTTATCAGCTAAAATTAAATTCATGGCATTTGATCTGATTGTATATGGAACCATATGAAGTGAAAAGTGTTGCTTTGGATAAAATGCAACACTAGTCATTAATATGAATTTTGTAAATGGAAAACTAACTTGGACGGATTTTGTATTGAAATTAATGAGATTCTGCCATAGAAACCGGCTTAACAACGTGTTTGTTTTATATTACTCCATCCGAGCTAATTTTTCGGAATATACATGCTTGAATTTGGTAGTTGGACCAAAGAGATTGTTTCATTTTTGACCGCTAGAAACTTGATGATATTTCGTTGCGGAAAATCAACAATTTTATCGAAAAGACCGTGACCGTACACACCAGTGCCGAGTTAGCCATATGGCAAATGAGGCAGTTGCTCCGGGCACCACGTTCTTGGGGGCACCACAAGCGTGGGAATTTTTTTTTTAATAATCTGAAAAAGAAAACACGCAGCCAAAAATGGGCCCAAAAATGTTTTTGGTGCCCCGAAAATGGTATTTCCAAAAACAAATTTTGCTCGCTACCGCTCGCATTCGATATGTACGTTCATTTTACCAATAATTAATCGTATATATACCGGGAAAAAATTGCAAGCGGCACCAAAATCATTTTTGCCTCGGGCACCAAATTTGGTTAACTCGGCACTGGTACACACACATTGAGCAAATTGTCCAAGTGCAAATGAAGCCGTTTGTAAACATTTAATTTGCACGAAAAACTAATTTCATAATGTAATACTCGTTAAAATTATTCAAACTAATATTTATCTTGTGTCATAATCGTTACTGGAAAATGGCAGACGCCATCATAACTGACGATATCACATGGGTTTATCCACCAGCTTATGAATACATATTAACCGAGTGGGCGAAATTAAAGCGATTATAATTTGTTCTGTTATCATTTTTATCCAAACTTTCCGGCATAAGCTTTTCATTGCTACCTCAAAATAAGGTAGACTGTTCAAGGCATGCAAACCATTTGGAATATTCGATGTGTGGACTGGGAACAAAGCCATTGAGGTGCGGCGTCATTCAGGACGTTCATGGTTTCCGGTAAGTTGACAAGAGTTAACTTGATATCTTCATTATCATAAGCGTCTGACATTCCACAAAAAGCACCCAAACGTCGTTCCAACAATACAATAACCATTTTACCAATGTAATGTTAAAATCGATTTCAGTGCTTGCATTAAGTGTCATTAATCCACAAGTGTATGATGCAAAAGTCAATAGAGTACGACACAGACATGGATCGAAATGAAAGTCACAGTCAACAAATGCAAGAAAACCAAATGAGATTTGCATAACGATTGTCGGCACAAAACACACTCCGGAGTCGAAGCGTTCACTGATTTATTTGCATGAACGCATAAACTTTGCACAAAGCAGTGTTCCATTCAAAAACAAAATACGACAAAAGATGAAAGCACAATCTTGCTGCAAACATTGTATGGCGGAATGGGGTGGTTATAGTCTAACATATAGACGATTATGTAGTGGAATTTTGATGGTTTTACAGCATCGACACTTAGATACGGAACATTCAAAATATGTGGAATGTGTGTGTAAGAGAGAGGCACATACAGAGGAGGGCGAGAGAAAGCATTCCGCATAGTGCGGCTGGCAACAAAAAACCACCAAGAGTTCAAATTAAGTGGTTTACCATTTAAGCGATGACATTAAGATTACATTGGATACAAAGACAAACATTTGCTTCCGAAAGTATCAACGATATGAGTGGGGTGATGTACGGAGTTCATTAACAAAGCTTCGTGACGAATAAAATTTATGCTTCAATGCCGCTCAATTTTAACTGTAACATTTCACGCGTCCGACCCACCATGTATACATAATTCTCAGCTTTAAGCACATTGTGATGTTGAAAGCGCTCCTTTTTTCCAAGATTTACGCAAGGATTTCGTGCATTAATTTTATTGGTTAGCTCACAGGCTGGCATTTCATCAAAACAGCTCTGCAAAACATTGTTTCACGATCCGGATATAATTTTTTTAGCAGTAATCGCTTTATCGGAAAAAAGTGACGAAAACACAAATCCCATTAAATAAAACAAAAGCAACAAAAACGGAAGACATTTTGAATACACACACACACATTGAACGATACGAAGAAATTGGCATTTTTCGTTGGCTGATTCTATTTCCCTCGAAAAATAAATTGGATGAATATAATGGGATCTGTTTCGTTGATTATGTCCAGGGAGCCGGTTGTTCAATATTTTGCCGTTTTTTTAGCCGAACAAAAGGTAATCCCAAAAGAATATTTCAAGGAGTCGCTCTAATTGTATTGACTTGTCTCAAACAAGTCCACATTTTTTTTCCATTATAACTAGAGTTTCACTCAAGTGAAATTAACTTTGAGCTAAACGGTTTCCATCAGCTCATATCGCATGAACTGATAAAACGACATGCTCTCAATCATCCAACATTTTCGAAATAAAATGCTCGCAGTGAACGCCGAATTGTTTTCGATTAAGTTTTCTAAATGAAAGTCTTCATTAATTTCGTATCAAATTTCGTTCCGGATTCCTGGAATGTCAATGATATAATGGAAAATATCCACGAAATTCAAACCGATTTAATATACCAACAAATACAGCAATGCTGTATTACAGCATATATGCTGTTTTTCATCATATATGTGTGTTGTGACAAACAGCAACGAACTTTGAATTTATTCTCTAAACACATGGCGCGTTCAGTTTTTTCCTCTTCTTCTTCTTCTTCTTCAGCTAAACTTCGAAATATTGTTTTGCTTCTTTAAAATCGGATCGTATTTATGTATACTTCGCATGTTAAACGGAATTGATGAAGAACGCTCATGTTATGCGACGCCTGGGACGTCAAGCTCAAAAGAAAGAAGCCGAGCTAGAGCGAAAAAGCGTTTATGAAGAAAAAGTGACAAGGCCATCATTCTAAACACAACAATAAAAAAAACAAGAGCTAACGAAAGAAATAACAAACACGCTATCACTCCAGAATATTAATGTCTTTGGATAATATGGATATGAATACATTCAGATACATGAACATTGAACACACGTATTGTTGCGCCCCACGTATACGAAGGCTCTCCGAATTTTCAGATGAAATATTATGCGAAGCTTTATTATTCACATTTGTACCAACGCCCCATGGTAGTTGCCGTTGATTTTGTTTATTGCACAACACATACAAACAACAGAGCTTAAGGAATATGGCGAATTCAATAATCCACTTCAAAGAAAGTTCCGTTTTTCACTACTTTCGACTTGTGCCATGAGAATAAAAGGAAAAAAGTTAAAAGCAATTGGATTGATATTGATTCCGAAATGATGATTCGTTCCAAGCATTGAAAATATCCAGCTTCATATGGTAAAATTGGACTTTGGCCATGTCTCAGCACTTATGAAAACTTTAGTTTGAAACTGCTGCAGATGTCAAGAATAGTTCTATTTTCTAGTTGTGAATTTCACATTACATTTTTCAAGACTCGATAACTTTGAATATATTCAATGGTAAATGGTATACAATGCAGAAATATGCAAAAACTTTTTTGTAAGCGCAATTAAAACTACAGTCTCAGAAATGATAATGGAAGCATCTTACGTAGTTGTCTGCTAGCAAAGTCCGATTTCAATTACATCCCAAGACTTCATGCATCAACAAAGTTGATGAAAGATTGAAATTAATATATTTACTGCTCGATGTCTATTGACATCGTATGAGTTGGTTGGAATGCTTCATTCCGTACTCAATATTCTCTTATGATAATTGCTCCGAAACTACAAGAGTTTTTCGCTTGCATACATAGCTGGAACTGTGAAATTCCATTGCATGAAATAATGTCAGGGTAAATACACACAGAAAAGAATCCCCGGAAATTTTAGGTGTTCGCCGTAAAATTTGACATTTATATATAAATTTCTATGTACATTTTACCGGCAACACTTGAATTTTCCGGGCGATGACATAATTTCAAATATTCCAACAGAAATTAGCGCCATCTGTCATTTCAAGCGGTAAAATATATATAGTATTTGATAAAATGTTCGAAAATATGTCATCGCCCGGAAAATTGAAGTGTTGCCGGTAAAATGTATATAGAAATTTATATATAAATGTCAAATTTTACGGCGAACACCCAAAATTTCCGGGGATTCTTTTCTGTGTGTACGTAGAATTTCACCAAAATTAATTAAAGCCTACACGCAGGCTTATGCAATGAGTTAATCAAGTGGTACATCCAAATGTACATACGCAACTGTTTGCAGAAAGTAATCGGTTTAGTGAATAAACATTAACACAGTTCAGTAATGGTATATATGATTAGACGGTCGATTCAATTTCTTTGCTATTTAACTTCGCACATTCACTCGGCATGTTTCATGTAATTGAGCAAAACGCGGTTGTTGCTCAGCCTTTGATTAAATTCAATATGCGTTTATTAGTGAAATAAAGCCCGTTGACGTTGGACCGTATTGTTCGCTTGATGTGGGATAACAAGTTGGTTTTTAGTTGGAGTGCTTTGCACTTCATTTCATTTTAATTTGGAAAAGAGGTAGAAATTGACGGCGTAAACGACGCTTAAATTCAAATGAAATGCTGAAATGGAAATCGAAGTGCGAATTGCATCATGAGTTGCGTTCAGTTCAGCCAGTTGTTATCGACACTGCTGCAATTCGATGAAGTGCACTTTAATTTATTTTATGTGTTTGCATTTTTTGTTTGTTTTGCTTTCGTTCTACTGCAATCGAGTTTTATTACATCGAAGTGAAGCAGTTGCAACAAAAATGCTCGAGTAAAAGTAAAGCATTTGTGTTGCATCCCCTCAACTACTAATAAAAGTGCAAGTGTAAGCATTTCCGTGCGTTCGAATGTATTTTAGTGATAAGTTTTTGTGCATGTAAGAGTGTGTGTTTGTGTGTGAAAAAT